GACATGCCTTACCATCAAGACCTTCTGCTAATATCATTAATAAAAATATTAAAGAGAATGGGTCCAAGTACAGATCCCTGAGGTACCCCACTGGTGACAAGCCCAAGCTTCGAATATACTCCATTGACTACAACCCTGTCACTCAGCCATTGCCTTACCCATTCAACAATATTGGAATCCAAACTTAAAGATTGCAATTTATTGATAAGCCTTCTATATGCAACAGTGTCAAAAGCCTTAACGAAATCTAGGTAAGCAATGTCTACTGCACCACCCTGATCTATTATTTTAGTTACCCATTCAAAAAAATCAATAAGATAAGTTTGGCATGATCTCCCTGAAGTAAACCCATGTTGGCGCTGATCTTGAAATCCCTGTGTTTTTAGATGTTCAAATATCCTATACTCTAACATGGTTTCCATTACTTTCCCCACTACTGAAGTAAGGCTTACTGGCCTATAGTTGCCGACTCCTCCCTACTACCTTTCTTGTGAATGGGCACAACATTCGCTAACTTCCATTCTTCGGGGACTACTCCTGTTAACAATGATCGGTTAAATAAATCTGTTAATGGTTTTGCTAGTACACCACTAAGCTCTTTTAATAACTTTGGGTGTATTCCATCAGGTCCCATTGACTTACTTTTTTCTTTACCTTTGACAGTTGAAATAGAACCTCTTCCTCTGTAAACTCACATGTAATACATGACTCATTTGTCCTTTTTCCTAACTGAGGTCCCTTTCCTTCATTTTCATCTGTAAATACTGAACAAAAATATTAATTGAGGCAATCAGCTAAACCTTTATCATCTTCTACATACCTTCCTTCTTTTGTTTTTAATCTAACCAATCCTTGTTTTACTTTCCTTTTCTCATTTATGTATCTAAAAAATGTGTTGTCCCCTTTTTTACTGACTGTGCTATTTTCTCTTCTGTGTGTGATTTGGAAGCTCTTATAACTTGCTTACCCTCTTTCTGCCTAATCTTAAAGATCATTCTGTCTTCCTCACTCTGTTTTTTTTTTATAATTTCTAAATGCTAACTTTTTGTTTTTTACTATTTTGGCAACATCTGCAGAGCACCACAGTGGTTTTTTTGCTTTTACTGACAAGCCTAATGCAATTTTCTGTTGTCTTCAGCAGTGCAACTTTTAAATAATCCCATTTCTCTTGGACTCCATTTAAATTGCTCCAGTGTGATAATGACTCCTTTACAGGTATTCTAATTTTAGAAAAGTCTGTTTTTTTAAAGTCTAAAACTTTTGTTTTTGTGTGGTGACTCAGTCACTGTTCTTAAATTAAACCACACTGACTGATGATCACTGGATCCTAAACTTTCACCTACAGTAATATATGATACCAAATCTCCATTTGTTAACACTAAATCTAGTATGGCCTCTTTACATGGGGGAGGAGAAGCAGTAGCTGGTGAAGACACCTCCTTGAAATTAGTTTTTGCTTGTTGGGATGTCTGAGCGACTGACCGAAGAAGAGGAAACTTGGGAGGACACTTGGGAGGGAGACATATAGTAAATATATCACTGCCTGTTTGTAGTTTCTCTCTGTTTGTAGCATACCGTTGATAAGGATGTCTTTCTGGCACAAGGACCATGGCTAAGGATGCAGCTCATGGTTCTGAATTCTGCAAAATATCATTTTTTTTGTGTGCAAAAACTATAAAGATTTAAGCTTTCAAAAAACATAGCATATTAAGGGTGGGGGAGGGGGGCGGGGGGGGTCTATCAAATGTCTAAAGCTATAGTTGTGTCCAGAGTGTCCCCTCAAGAACATTGTTCAACTTCTGAATCAAAACAAAATCTTGATTTTGTGCTATGTTTGCTCTACCACAATGTAAGTGTTTCTCTTTAAGTTCACATATCCATATATATTATATATTGTTTTTTAAAGGACTAGAATTTTTTTATTTTAATATCCCTTATCTATATCAAGTATCAAAACACAAAATAGATTAATGTATCAGTGCTGATTGTTAAATACCTTATGTGTTTAGGATTTAAATACATTTTTGGCAGTTAATGCTAACCCTGCACAAACCCTACCTTTAACCTTACACCAACCCTACTCCTAACTCTATGCTTACACTAAATGTAACACTTACTCTGACCTTACCATGACGCTATCCCTAACCCTAACCCAGCATAACCCTCAACCTACACAAACACTAACACACTAAATCTAACCCGACACCAAACCTAACCCTACCCTAACATTAACCCTAATACAAACCCTAATTGTAACTTGACACTAACTCTAACTGAGAGGGATTCCCTCTGCTGATGTCAGAACTATCAGCAGCAGAATCAGCAGAGGGATTTCCCAGCTCACACAGTACAGAGTGCTTTGTGAACGCTCTCTACTGTGTGATTAAAGCATGAGAGGGAAATCTACCTCTTGTGCTTCAGTTCCTGCTTGCTACTCATCAGTTCTGGGCAGCTGGTCACCTGAAATTTTGCAACACAGCCACGGTCAATGGGGTCTCAGTCATTAAACTGTGTAAGTCAGTGCTTTACACTGAGACATTTTTTTCTCTTTCTAACTTTATTTTGATGTTGTGAATAGTTTTTTGTTTGATTTGGTTTTATCACAGCAACTAGAGAAGTAACTACTTCGGAAGAAATTTCTAATGTGCTCCTCCTCTCCTCTGGCATATTTCCATCACCCTTCAAACATGCAACTGTAACCCTGATTCTAAAAAAGCCCAATCTTGACCCTAACTCCCCGTCCAACTACCGACCTACCTTGCTACTGCCTTATGCGTCCAAGATCCTTGAAAGACTTGTGCATGTGAGACTGACAAACTTCCTTGAGCCACTTCAGTCTGGTTTCTGCACTTAGCACTCTGTGGAAACAGCTCTGACCAAAGTATCAAATGATCTACTCACTGCAAAATTTTATGGTCACTACTCTATCCTAGTTCTCCTTGACCTTCCTGCTGCTTTTGATACTGTTGATCATCAACAGCTTCTTATCATCCTCTGTAATCTCCGTTTCCGAGATATTGCTCTCTCCTGCTGCTCCTCATACCTCACTCAGCGCTCTTTTAGTGTTTCTTTCTCTGGCTCTGCCTCTTCCTTTGGCTTCCAATATCACTTCTATGCGGATGACACCCATAGCTATCTATCTTTCCCTGATCTCTCCCCACCCCTCTTGACTAGTGTCTGTGTAGCGGATGACATTGGGCTGTCCTCAAGAATTTGTGGTAAAAATGTATTCATGTAATTATTCCCATGTATAACTGTAAGTGTATGTAGCTTTTGTCAGCTTGTTCGGTAGTTTTCCTTCCGTTTTCATACGAATGAAACTACCAAACCATCAGACCACCCCAGTGAGAAGTGTGTACCTTGTTAAGCTTTCACACTCTGTAACTGAAGCTTAATTGACTGTGAAATTGCTACTTTATGTGTATCTGTGTGGTCGCCGTTCGGCATACAAACCGCGTGGAGGCGGCCATCTTACGCAAGAAAATCTCAGCGGTGTTTGGTCGTCGAGTGTCTGGAACTCAAATCGGACACTCAAACACCCGAACACCGCTGAGACCTCCAGAGCTCCATAACTTATGAACGGAGGGGCCAGTCAATACCGAACAAGGGAACACATACGAATATGAGATTAGCTGTGGGTGGCAAGTATTTCTGTGTATTTTAACTACCGAACGGAGACCGACCACAGGGCCAAAATACATGGAGCCTTTTTCGGATACTACCTCAGTCGGTCAAATTTCACCTTCCATCTAACTCCCGAACCCCTGGTCCGATCTGGGTGAATTTTGAATATGTTATTCACCCAGATCTGGGCAACAAGGGGGTACCCAGTATATCAGTCTATCTGCCTGTTTTGGGGTACATCCAGAAATCGGGGAAAACTACAGTATGTTTAATGGGATTATGTGTCACACTGAGGGGAGGAGATGTGAGGGAGGTAACTGTTACACTATTGGCTACCGTAATAATTACTGTGAATCCCTCCCTTGCATGGGAGAAAGCATTAAAAGAAGGTTGTGTGATTAAAAGTTCAGTTCTGCTCCTGATGCTGTGTGTCGTCCAGTCATTGGGATCTGTATGGGGATATTCGTGTATTACCTTGCTTGCTGTGAATATTGTTCTATGGGATTTTATAACTTGTTCCTGAGCCTCACTGGGATCTTTAGTGGAGTTAACCTGTGAAAGACCATCTCTCCGCTACAGTCTGTGACTGCCTTTCTGCTATTTCTAACTGGATGGCTGCCCACATCCTTAAGCTCAACTTGTCCAAAACAGAACTTCTGGTTTTTCCTCCCTCAAGTGTTGCTACTCCTGTTTCTATCTCCCTCCGCATTACTGGTGCTACCATCAGCTCCACCACGCAAGCTTGCTGTCTAGGTTTTCTCTTTGACTCTGACCTCTCTTTCACCCCCATGACCAGTTGATCGCCAAATCCTGCCGCTTCCATCTTAAAGACATTGCGCACATCCGCCCCTACTTAATGCCAGATGCGGCTAAGGTGCTGGTCCATGCCACTGTCCTCTCTCGCCTTGACTACTGCAATCCACTTCTTAGTGGTCTTATGTGCAACCAACTTTCCCCATTGCAGTCTATTATGAACGCAGCAGCAAGGCTCAACTTCCTGTCCACCTTCATCTCCCACGCCTCACCATTCTGTCAGTCCCTGCATTGGCTTCCCGTAAGATACAGGGCTCAATATAAAGTTCTGGTTCTTGCTTTCAAATCTCTACATAATGCTACTCCCACAAAAAGCAACTATCCCTTAATGGAGATAGTAAGTGATACACTAGAGTGCCTGAATAAAGAAAGCAGCTCAACACAAAAAGTGGAATACCCTAATCCACAATAAAGTGCAAAATATTCAAAAAAGAAGGGTATAGACAATATACCAACAATATACCAACAAGTGGAGCGCTATGGTAAGTGTAAATAGTAATAGTAAGGGGGTACACTTACCCCTCCAATACAGTGATACTCTTGAAAATATATATCCAAATATACATATAAAACAAAACAAAGAAAGAGAATATATAGTGCAGATGGTTTGACAAATGAAAGCAATTGATGGTAACAAGATGTGAGTGGTTTAAAGCATCTTGTTACCATCAATTGCTTTCATTTGTCAAACCATCTGCACTATATATTCTCTTTCTTTGTTTTGTTTTATATGTATATTTGGATATATACAGGGAGTGCAGAATTATTAGGCAAGTTGTATTTTTGAGGATTAATTTTAATATTGAACAACAACCATGTTCTCAATGAACCCAAAAAACTCATTAATATCAAAGCTGAATATTTTTGGAAGTAGTTTTTAGTTTGTTTTTAGTTATAGCTATGTTAGGGGGATATCTGTGTGTGCAGGTGACTATTACTGTGCATAATTATTAGGTAACTTAACAAAAAACAAATATATACCCATTTCAATTATTTATTATTACCAGTGAAACCAATATAACATCTCAACATTCACAAATATACATTTCTGACATTCAAAAACAAAACAAAACAAATCAGTGACCAATATAGCCACCTTTCTTTGCAAGGACACTCAAAAGCCTGCCATCCATGGATTCTGTCAGTGTTTTGATCTGTTCACCATCAACATTGCGTGCAGCAGCAACCACTGCCTCCCAGACACTGTTCAGAGAGGTGTACTGTTTTCCCTCCTTGTAAATCTCACATTTGATGATGGACCACAGGTTCTCAATGGGGTTCAGATCAGGTGAACAAGGAGGCCATGTCATTAGATTTTCTTCTTTTATACCCTTTCTTGCCAGCCACGCTGTGGAGTACTTGGACGCGTGTGATGGAGCATTGTCCTGCATGAAAATCATGTTTTCTTGAAGGATGCAGACTTCTTCCTGTACCACTGCTTGAAGAAGGTGTCTTCCAGGAACTGGCAATAGGACTGGGAGTTGAGCTTGACTCCATCCTCAACCCGAAAAGGCCCCACAAGCTCATCTTTGATGATACCAGCCCAAACCAGTACTCCACTTCCACCTTGCTGGCGTCTGAGTCGGACTGGAGCTCTCTGCCCTTTACCAATCCAGCCACGGGCCCATCCATCTGGCCCATCAAGACTCACTCTCATTTCATCAGTCCATAAAACCTTAGAAAAATCAGTCTTGAGATATTTCTTGGCCCAGTCTTGACGTTTCAGCTTGTGTGTCTTGTTCAGTGGTGGTCGTCTTTCAGCCTTTCTTACCTTGGCCATGTCTCTGAGTATTGCACACCTTGTGCTTTTGGGCACTCCAGTGATGTTGCAGCTCTGAAATATGGCCAAACTGGTGGCAAGTGGCATCGTGGCAGCTGCACGCTTGACTTTTCTCAGTTCATGGGCAGTTATTTTGCGCCTTGGTTTTTCCACACGCTTCTTGCGACCCTGTTGACTATTTTGAATGAAACGCTTGATTGTTCGATGATCACGCTTCAGAAGCTTTGCAATTTTAAGAGTGCTGCATCCCTCTACAAGATATCTCACTATTTTTGACTTTTCTGAGCCTGTCAAGTCCTTCTTTTGACCCATTTTGCCAAAGGAAAGGAAGTTGCCTAATAATTATGCACACCTGATATAGGGTGTTGATGTCATTAGACCACACCCCTTCTCATTACAGAGATGCACATCACCTAATATGCTTAATTGGTAGTAGGCTTTCGAGCCTATACAGCTTGGAGTAAGACAACATGCATAAAGAGGATGATGTGGTCAAAATACTCATTTGCCTAATAATTCTGCACTCCCTGTATTTTCAAGATTATCACTGTATTGGAGGAGTAAGTGTACCCCCTTCCTATTTACACTTACCATAGCGCTCCACTTGTTGGTATATTGTCTATACCCTTCTTTTTTTAATATAATGCTACTCCCACCTATCTATCCTCCCTAATACACAAGTATGTCCCGTCTAGGCCCCTATGCTCTGCCGAAGACCTGTGTCTATGCTCTGTTTGTACTCCCACCTCTGATGCTCGCATTCAAGACTTCTCTAGTACTGCATTGTTCCTGTGGAACTCCATTCCCTTTTCCGTTAGATGCTCATCCAGTCTCCACTCCTTCAAAAAATCTTAAAAAACTAACTTTTTCACAAAAGCGTATTAATTAAACTGTTAATGGCTCCCAAGTGATTCATCTCCTGCAACGGTCATTTAAAAAAAAATAAAAAAACCCTCACTAAGTCTTCATTGAATACTATTCTACCAATCTACATGCATACACTGTACATAGAGAGACACAGTACAAAGTCCACATCACACACTCACTCACTGACCCACCAAAACCATAAGCAGGAATATGAAGACAGCTTATGGAGATGTAAGAGGTCTACAATTGGGGCAGCAGGAAGATGAATAGGACAGACTGTTGGACTACAATAAACCATATTTTATTTTTAAATCTGGCACCATGATCACTACAGCGCACTGTTGTGATTAAGGTGCCAGGAGTACCCTTGCACTCACACAATGTTAGTAGTTAGCAATTTGCAAAGGGTTTGACAATGTACAGAAGAGCAACGGCCACTTTTCTACGTGTATAGTATTAGTCATGCACTAAAAGAAGTGATTGGTATCCTTCATGAGCCCTAGTGGAAAGTACAGGCGGAGAACTCCTGCATGGAGCTTCCATTTACTCTTCAGAGCCAAGCCCTGGTATGCAGGGCTAGCTCATTGGCTGAGTGCATCAGATAATCTCTCAACAAATTAACTAAGTCTTGCACCACCAAGATTCGCTCAATGAAGAGAGAGAGGACCTCCAACTCTCATAGAGGGGATGATTATGATCAGCGGCCAGTGCTGAGCAGAGCACATCAAACACACCATATAACATTGACAAAGCTAGGCTACCATTAGGAAATTGTTTAACTAAGACTCCAACTTTAGCTCTACTACTTAGGGGTGCGTCAGGGAATGCACTGCACTTCTTGCGTCATAGCTGCTGTAGATCATCACACTGTTGTGGATATGGTGCTTGGATTAGTCTATTCATTAAATATGTTTACCACTTGCATAAATAATTTTGGAAAATATATCTGCTAGACAGCTACCTAATTTGATACACGTGTGTGGGATTTCCATATAGGATACCAAAGAGATCGGTTTAGTAGATAGCTCCTTAATTTGGTATCTTTAAATATTGGCTATCCCACATGAGGCTAGAAAATTAAGGAGCTTAACTGTTCAATATATGAAATAAAGCAAAGGAGAGGTATGTGCTGCTACCCTAAATAAAGGGGAAAAATATATATATTTAATTTGTTGATAAAAATTTATGAAAGTATAATGAGGTATACAAAATGCCACAAAAACAGCAGGAAACAAATTACTCACTCCACCATTGCAGTAAATGTGCTCCAATTCTCAATGCAGGCAGCAATGCTCCTCAAATTCCAAAATCCTCAAAAAAATATAGCAATACCTCACTCAAAAGAACGTAATGGAATGAAAAGAAGAGATATCTGGAGAATGAGTATCCTTGTAGCACTGATTTATTACAATATTATTAAAGTGGCATGCCCACGATAATAAGTAGCAGTGATAGGAGTTGTAGCTAACGCATCATTGCTCTGTGCATCAAAAAAAGGGGGGCGGAGGGTGGTTAAAAAAAAACAAAAAAAAAACGAAATGGAACTGAACGCGTTTCACGTCGCTACTGAACACTTTCTCAACCTCATGTTGTAATTTTAACCCCATAAAGGTAACACCCGAATTAAGGAACTATCTACAAACAGTGAACGGCACACAGCTGAAACTAAAAAATTAAGGAAAGACTAAAATTAAGAAAAAGGGCTTCATCTTAAAATTTTATCTTTCAGTAGTTTTTAGATAACTCCCTAATTTGGTATCCTTATTTTGGATTACCATTTGCCTATGCCATATAGGATTGATTGTGGAACCCTTCTACTTACCTATACTACCAACGTTGTGTTATTGTTTCGTAGATATAACACCTTTATTTAGTGTCAATCAATTTGATTGATTTGATACCAGATTACCAGATTAGGGAGATATCTACTAACAACTCCCTCACATTGGTATTGGTACCATAATATGGCTATTGGTATCCTAAGATGACTAAGACTTTAATACTATACTGTCTGTATGCATGGAATTCAATTTTCTCAATGTATTTGTGGAAACTAAAATTTTTACTAAGTATATACACCTAAATCTGTATGCTGAATAAAGGCCACAGTCATTTAGTACATATGTGTCAAACTCATTAATCAACAATAACCTCAATATAAAAATACAGTGACATCCCTGACATTATCATTATAATCATAACTGCAAACTCGAGCAGTTTCCTTCCATCTTGTTCATTACTTTACCTTTCTGCTTCCTACATCTTATCATTAGCTGATTTTGCTGATTCTCAATGTGCACTTCCATGCATTACTTGTGCAGGGTTGTACTTGATATGCCAGAAAAATGTTCTTTCATACTTCTTTTCTTCCTTTGCTTCTCCTTGATGTATTTAAATGTACTTAAATTAATATGGGATATACCTTATTACCTGTGATTCTAGACTGAACAGGTCCAGCACATTTCCATTAAATCACAGTCCTTGTTAAATAGCTTGCCAATATTCCTTGCAAAAAAACTGTGTGATGCTAAACAATTACTTTAAGTAAATATAAATTTCAATAAATTGCTTGGAGAAACTATAACTTCACTGTTCAGTGTTGGACACCAAATACAGGTATATTACGAGTACATGACCCTGCGTTACTACAGAGGAGACAGAGACTACATTTGGCAAGGGTGCAACTATAATTAAACAATGCAATTTGAGATCAAGTTCACTCCCTTTGACAGTGATCAAAGTCAATAAGTGACAACATCTTCCAACTTCCATAGCCTATATTAAAAAGAGTAAACCAATGAATCATTAGAATTCATGGGGGAATTAAATAATCAACAAAATGGTCATAAGTAGTTTATTTAATAAGAGTATGTGACGTTTCAAACTTTCTTTGGTAAACAGTAAAACGTATTGGAGAAAAATAGTTTGTTTTCAATAGGACAGGTAAAATTAAAGTATATTGTGAAAGTTAATGTTTTATCAAGTTGACATTATTCAGATAATGGCACATGTGTTTCTGTTACAATGAACACTGATTAATTGGTCTCTATTTTGCTTTCCCAGTGCTCTTAGCACTCTTCCTTTTTG